AAGCATCCTCTCATACGGCAGCTTCTCTCCTCAGCTGCCAAAAACTTTTCACAGAAAACAACCATACAAAAGAAGTGAAAAGATACATACAGTATTAGCAAATTTTGTGCAAAAGTTTGAGACTCAACCTGATTCTTGGAAAAAAATGAGTCAAATCCGAAGCTAAAATAGATGTGACAAAAAGTGGAATAATTCACCAGTAGGCAAATTTACAGACTACAGCCAAAAGGTTTACCAAAAACCTCTCGACAGGAACAGCAACTCAAGAAGCAATCCAAGTTGCTTTTTAAAAAGTGAGAAAAAACAACTTTAAAAAACTGCAGTCACTGTGATAAAAGCAAAATATAACAACAACGATATAAAAGCAATAAACAGCGAAGATTGATGCAAAACGACACAAAAAGGTCCAAATTGTTAAGCAACCTGATAAAAATCGCTCTTCCTCGGCAAGCGAAATGGCAAAAAATTTGTAAAGACTCAGCCAAAATATACATTAAAAGACTCCTTACTGGTTCATTTTCCAGAAGGCATCTAGTAAATATGGCATAAGTCTCGTCAGCTGGAATTATCAGTCAGAAAGAATCCCTATTTTTGAAAAAAAATTTCTTTACAAAAATCTTTCATTTATCGACAGCTTCTCTAATGATAAAAATTTCTACACAAAGCTCCAAGCTGCAAAACTTCGCAGAGAATTTCATGCAGCCCTTATCAAGAACGGCAAACAAAGTAACTTCTACAATTTTTTTTGGCAAAAAATCCGCTTTACTACTTTTCAGAAGAAATAATACCAAAACTATTTTGATAACGTCCTCAAAAGTTTGCAACATATTTATAAGGCAACTTATTCCTATTCGGCAACCTCCGAAAAAGAGTTCAGATAGATATAAACTTAGAATCAAAATCAAAAACCTTGTATTAAAAGACTAGTAAGACTCTAGCAAGATAGCAACAGAAATTTTCCAGAACCTTGACGTAATTTAAGTCTTAATAGACTAAAAAATGCAGAAGTAATATCTAATCTAATAAGAAACCATCCAAGTTTCAAATTAGCCTTTTAGTCGCACTCTAATTTACAATAACAACATTTTCTTGCGACGGTTCTTTCCATTTCCTCTTTAACCGTTTAATTCGTCTTTTTTTCACTTGAACCACACTTTCGGCTACATCTGGGGTGTGACGTCGCTTCATTTCTTCAATTTTTGGCTTCTTAAGTGCAGTATCTTCACCATACTCAGTTGTAGCCTAAAGTTTATAACCTTCTGACTTTCCAAATAACAGAACATAAAACTGGTACCTGCACAAGATTTTTACCATTAATTAGCAAAGAAGGCTAAAAACATTAACCAAAAACATTGAGCAAACAAAAATCAACTTATTCATAACATATTTAACAGTTACTGGTTCATGTTTTCTCTTCTCACTATCTCTGACTCCTTTCATGTCATTCCACAACGCTTCATCCTCCTCGCTAGCAGAACCGCCAGAACTGCCTTCATCTCCCAATTCCTAAAAGTCACTTGTCGTAACGGTACAAAAAAACCGAAAAAATGTTTTATAAGCACTTTTACCACTAAAAACGTTAGAGAAGAAGAAAGCCACAACTTATCAAACAATTTTTTTTAAAACCAAAAGAAAAGCAAAACTTGCTTCAAGTTCCTTCCAGCTGTTTTCGTAATCAATCAGCTCTTTTTTATTGACAGCGTTATTGTCCGATAGCGAAAAGTCGTCGTTCAACAATATACGGTTCAATTTAACTTTACAATAAACCTAAATAAACAAATTATATATATCGCTTTTTAACAACAATTTGTATAATTAAAAAACTCAAATGAAGTAGATATATAAGTATTACCTTCTTTAATAGTTGCTTCGTATTCAAATCGTGTAGACGTACAAACCGATCAATAGAACAAGAAGCTACGTAGGGCGATTGTGAATGTGCAGCTATCCCCCTGATAGACCCAGCGAAGCCCTTATATTTACACACCATACTCACTAAACAGTCAAAAAAGCGTTAGAAAATTCTGTCAAATCAGTTAACTTGACTGTTCCGTACAGAATCTTCGTCCTTGGTGGTACGCCAGTATTAGCGGTTGCAAATTGCACCTGATGCGCTTGTAATGCCTCTGACTGCTTCAAAAGCCATAATTCGATTTCATCCTTATTTAATTAAATTCAACTTGTCAAATGAACTGACTTCTTCTTCTAAACACAGAAAAATTTACTGTACAAATTTGACTGGAAAAACTTTCAAATTCTTCTTGAAAAGATCGACACTGCCGTCAGCTATAAAAAATTGAGAGGCACTGTTCAAGAACAGCAGCTCCATAAGCAATGATAGCAAAAGTTTCTAACGACCACTATATTGCTGGCTTTACAAGCTATCAGGTGTCAGTTGCAACCGCTAATGCTGGCAAACTGTTACAAAAAGCAAATACGTTTGACGACAACATTCGAGTTCTACCTCCCAGTTTGGAAAATGAGCCTGAACACTGCTTCGTTAAACCATAAAAAAAGCTTTAAAAAAAAGCAGCTCCTATTTCTGCTAACTTCTGCTACCGCTAATGAAACTTTCCTACCAGTTTCCATTTGGTAAATCAGTAACTTTTTTTTTCTTCCGTCTCCGCGTGTATGTGTCTTAACTTTTGATGAAAAACAGTCATATTGCTATAAAAAGCTATGATAAAACATTATAGATTTTTAAAAGCGTTTAAATTTGAATACAGACTTTTATTTCTAATATCAAATAGTCCCATATCACCACGCGTATTTCCTGCAAGAAACAGATTCGGAGAAGAGCAGAGCGATAATGCAGTCACTGGCTCTTCAAGCCATTTCATTTCTTTTACAGGTCTCCTTTGAGCTCGCGGGTCATAAAGCCGAAACTAAAGATCAGAATCATTAAACCATTACCATATGAAGATGTCAAACTGCTTTTATAAGTTAATTCTGAAAATCAATATGCATGTTTCTTTCCTAAGCAAAACGACCCGCAAGTCATACCTGACAGGTCCCTGTCGCGGTAACAATACTGCGTGCATCAGATAAAAATCTAATATCATTATCACAAATTGGAACCCTCAACTGAAGGCTGTCTGGGCGTACCTGGAAACTCCATTATATAATTAACAATTAGATCTGAATACAAATTAATTAACTGAGAAAGTGTAAACTTTAGTAATACGAGTAAAAGTGGTGGCGACAGCTACACAAAAAAAAATTTGTCAAAGATCCTGTCGAAGAAAATATTAAAACATCAAAATATTTAGTAAAATAACAAACATTTTTAGCAGTAAATGTTTTCATCCCCTTCTCCAAATCCCAAATTTTCAACGGATTTTCTTTTCCACCAGTTGCACATCTATTTTCGTCATTGCTGTCTGGTATCATTACTAACAGATTTTTACCTGCATCTAGTTCCGTCAATGCCTTCCCTTTCTGATCCCAAAGGCATAAACTTCCTGATTCAGTAGCAGATACGACAGTCTTACTGAAGCATCAATCATTAGACTATGCATGCACCAAAGAAATAAGACTTTTGAAATAAAACAAATAAGACCTACTTTTTCATCATATAAATGCCTCTAACACTACCACTTCCTCCACTGACTTCAAATAGTGGTGACAGTAAATCATTCTTTGCATCATATAACTTTAACTGTCGATTGAGCTGCACCGTTAAAAGCTCAGTCTAAATTTAAAAGAGCACACGATATTTGTGTTTGAAATTAATAAACCCATATTCATGATAGATTTCGAATAACCAAAAATAACCAAAAATCCTTTACAACAATAACCAAAAATCCTTTACAACAATAAAAAACAAAGAACACCTTACTTGGTCTTCCGAAGTCCAGCACATACTAGTAATCCCATCACACTCGGGTTTCAAATTATGAATAATATTTATATTATAAAAGTGGCCATCTTTGAAAGAAACCCCTGAAAAATCTTCCGAAATTAAAAGGAAAAACAAAAAATTTGCAGATTCTCAAACCTTAGGCGATGTAAAAACTTCTTAGAGTGTTCTGTTTCAAATGTCTGAAGGAGAACAAAACGCTTTTTTTTTTTTTTATCACGTCCCCTAACCCCAAAAACAATGATATTAATAATCATTTACTAATCATGATATTGAAGGATTTGAAAAAGCCTCCTTCAGCTGACTCAACAATATGAAACCTTCAGTCACTCAAAAACCAAACTATTATTAAACCTACTGGATTCTTACTGTTATTCTAAAACTGTTGAGAAAAACCTTCAAACCTTTCAAAGCGCCAGTAGATGCACCAACAAAACAGTCCATAACGGTACCAGAAAAGAAACTGGCAGATTACATAAAAGTCAGATACGAAAATAAACTACCATTTAGGAAACCCTGAAAGTTTTCGTAAAACAGTGGTGCACAAATACAGATACCAAAAGTACTTATGCTGAGCAACGCTATAAATAATAAAATTCGTACTCTTCTGGTAGAAACTCGAATAAAAAACTTTCTCTTTTGAGCTAAAATACTAATGTATTTGCTCAAACGGCCTATGCCCTTTTTGCAATCCCAATAACACATGTACGAATATCGTCAGAAGCATACATAAAATGTCGGGACGTGCTTTCCCACCTTAACCAAGTTCTTTCATTTCGAGGTTTATACGTTCTAAGATCTTCCTTACAATGCATAAGTAGTCAACCTACAAGTATTTCCTCCTACTGCCTTTTAAGATCTTGAAAATAACGCATTTGAACTTGAAAACACCAACATTTCTTGGCAGATTTGCACTCGCAAAAACCAGGCAAATTTAAACGACTTTTCATATCTGGCACAAAAATAAATCAGGTCATAAATACAACTGTCGACCATAAAGAGATTGTCTGTCAACAAAAATACTACCATAATCCACTGACTTCTTAATTATGCCGTATTTCCACAAAAATCATTTGAGGTTTAAGTTAAACAACTTTCGGAAGTTGTACTTCTATTATTTTTAAATGAATGTTAAGTGCTATCAAAAAAAAAAAAAATTAAAATTTTAATTAACGAAAAAAGAAGTGAAGACTAATCAAAAAATCAAAAGACATGCCTCGTCATGACGAAAGCAGTCACCAGAACCTACAGTGCAAAGTCGCGCTAAACTTCTCGCACTTTTCGTGATTCCTAAAATTTCTAAACCAAATTTAAGTGCTCTTTTTAAACCTGAACGTTCTGCTCGTTTCAAAATGTATATCGCTTAAAAAGGTGAATGATTGTTATTTTATGGCTTGCAACAGAAAACTTCAGGACCAGCACTTCATTCGCGTCAACGCATATTTACTCTTACTAAAGTCTCCCAACCTTTGCAAGTATCCAGAAATTTCTGATAATAACCGCAAAAAAACAAGAGTAGCAAAAAGTCCACTCAATGGGAATAAATGCCAAGCACGTGAGAATATTGCAAAATAAAAAAAACAATAAAAATGAAGTCACACCAAGAGTAAAGTTGACAAAAATTTTTGACCTTATCCTCCGGTTGAAATGCTAAACGAAAAAAAAAAGTTCAACTTGTCACAGAGCCCAGATTTGAATGAATGTACTAGGATTTGCTGGTCACATGAAAACAGAAGCATTACATTTGATAAACTAATCCTACGAAGAATTTGAACTTCAGAAAAAATTTTAATCGGTGCGACAGGTTTTTAGCAAGTCCTCAAAATTACGAACGACTTCATTTACGCAGTTCACTTGAAACCGACAATAAACTACAGAAGATATTAGAAAAATTGTTTGAATTCCCCTGATTTCAGCAATCAACTGTTCCTAGCGTTAGCTGGGCGTTCAATAGAGACGTTTTCCTTGCAAAATTTAATGTATTAAGAGAGCAAAATACGCTTAAATGCGAAGGACCACAAGAACACTACTTGGCAACAAATGCTTCTCCTATTTTGGGAGAAACCCCGATACCTTGAGTAGCTTTGGGAAACTCGTTATTTAAGACGACTACTTACTTTGGTTCAGTAACACTTCACGAATCCGCTTTTTAACTCTGCTTCATCTACTACTCCCCAATTGATATCCTAGCTTACGAGGTCCGAACCAAATTTTACTCAAAAAAGTCATTTTGATTTCTTGAATGCTGCTTTTCGCCTATTCATTTCCAGTAAAGAAAAACTGAATGTTTTGTGCATAAGTAGCAGGCACCCACAGAGGTTCTAGCCACTGAAAACTGGAAAATTTGTTTAAAGTTAAGTGAAACGGAAGTTTGGAAAGGTAAAAAAACAGGAATCCTGCAATAAACAGGTGGTCATACCTAAATGAGTGGTTTTAAACCACTTCTTTGAGTTACTGGTTTCTCTTTAGGTCAAATTTTTTCTCCGTCTTCTTATTTGAAACCATTTATACAACAGCGAATGATCTTAGTAGAAATGGAGCCTTCCACTTCCCACCTTTTTGTATTTTGGAATGTAAAAAAAGTATCAAAAGAAAAAACTATTCACTCTTCTTCGTCTATCCCCTTTAACCAAAAACCTCAAAAAAAAATAAAAATAAAAAAAAAGCGTTTGAGGTGAACTTCCCAATAGTTCTACGCTCTCACCAGCGCAATGATGCGCAATAATGGTGAACGAAAAGTGACTTGTTAATATCTTGACTTCCGATTTTTACATCTTGAAATTAAAGGTCACTAAAGCGGGAAGAAACTTGGCTCTTGAAGTAATATGCAAATGCAATGAACATATCGAATTTGCTAGATGTTCGCTAGTTCTCCAGCTGCAGTCACGGAGGACAGTTAAAGCGCTAGAACATAGAAAAGTAAATGAAAAAGTACCACTGAAACAAAGAAACCTCAACCCTTCAGAAAAATTATAGAACAATCGTCCAGCTCAAAAATTCTAACAAAATGTAAATACAAGTTTTTCAAATTATCTACGTTACATCAACGTGTAAGTTAACTCCCCAATCTTCTGGGCAAATGAAATACAAAAACTTCCTTGAGCAGCATGTAATATCTGTGTTAAGTGCTAGTCTTTCAAAGGGAAAATCCTAAAAAACACTTCCGAGACATCAGAATGCCAAAGACCGCTTTACAGATACGTTAGTTAAAATACCAACTGCAACAGGCTAAGGTTTGACTTTCTATTATTCCCGCGCTAGCTCCTAAGCTCCGTATTGAGATTCTTATTCTTTCCTTGCATAATTGAAAAAATTTATATCTGTAGAAAGCTTAAATTCGAGAAATGGTAAGACTTTAGCACAACTACAAGGTAAAATTTTGAAGTGCGAAGGGGTTACTGGTAAAGATCAATTAAAAGGTACTTCATAAATCTATCTATTACCAAAAAATTGCCTATAAGTAAAACAAAAACAGCTTCTATAAAAAACAAAATTTCTTTGTATTAAACAAGAAAATCTGTCTGCTAACTTCCATAATTCTTTCAAGCAAGAGAGTAATTCAGGACATGCACAGGTTTTCTTTTCCATCGCTTCCTCTGTGTCCAAAAAGAGGAGCATCGATTACATCAAACAAAAGGTATGGATTATTAAACTTGACAGTTTGTCCCGTCTAAAAATTTTTCCCTAAATTAGGAAACAATTTTACAGAAACTGTAAATGCTTGGTAATTTTGAGAGGATGCTCCAGCAAATGTGGCACGTAGACTCGGAATTCTGCGAAAGAAAAATTGTTCAAAAAATACAATGAAAATTAATTTATAAATCAGTAAATTTTAGTGAAAAAATTCCTCTACAAATAAGAAAAAACGCAGAAAAAAAAAAGCAGATGACAGAAGAAAATGGTCGACGGGAGAGAAGATGTTAAAAAAAAAATCAACAAAAATTTAAATTTCCTGAAATCCAAAAAAATATTTGTTTTGGAACTCTGCCAATACCAAATAATTTTCGTTATATTTTCGTCACACATTCATTAATTATAAAGACATTCGTTACAAAAGTTTTCAGTGCGAACGCACCACAATCGTCAAACTGTTTAACTGCACGATCTGCCCGCATGCTATGCTCAGTTTCGGGCTGGTGAAGATATCAGCGTGCTTGGATATATATATGTATATATATAAAACATATATGTGTACAATATTTTATTATATTATATATAGTGATGTGATATATTTCGAGACCAAAACTAACATGGCGTTACTTTGTATTTACAACTTAGTTGTTCTGTTCACTGCTGGTATCTATCGGTTGGTGATGTTTCAAGTGTGTGTGCTTTTTTCGTACTTACATAAGTATAAATTTAAATATGCATTATATATTAATATTCATTAGTAGATATATATATATTTATTTATTTATATATAACATTATGTACGTTTGTAGAAGATGTGTGTATATCTGTATTTGTGCGTGAATATGTGTATTTTTGTGTCTCTGTATCTGTTACTTGTGTGTGTTTGTGTATGTTTATGTATATGTACGTATTCATCTTTCCATGTATGTGTCTGTATGTGTCTGTGTGTTTGTTTGTTTGTCTGTTTGTGGATTGAGATTGTTGAAGTGGAGTTGGACGATAATTTAGGGAATGTATGTTTTTGTCTGCGTGTGGTCGTTTGGTCTATGATTTTTGTTTTGTTGTATTAATATGTGTCAGAGTTTTCTATTTTGTTTCTTGAGATGTTTACGATTGTTGGAATTGTATAGTGCCCACTGGTGGTAAACCTTTAAATGCTAAGTGAAGGAGAAAAGAGATGTAGTTACGAAATTATTTCTATTTTTTGGCTTTACTTGTTATTTGTTTATCTATTATTCTTCGTTTTAAGTTACTGAACGTTTTAGGTATGTAAAGGTTGATTTATTGACTGTATTACCTATGCGTATTATACCTGTAGACGTGTTGTCGCATACATGTGTGCAACACTGATTATACCCTCGAATTCGTTAATTTTCAAATTTTTTACATCATTTTCTCGAACTTCTTTCCATAAATTAAGTGCCGTATTTTAGTCCTGTTCGACGTTTTGGTCACACTTTTTTATTTGTTTTTTACTCTATTGACGGCTTGTAATTGTCGAGAGGTGGAGAACACTACTGAGCAAGTAATGTTGTTGTATAACTTAATAAACAGTGAATTTAGTGCCCATCATTGGAATTTTTTCTTTTCATTTTGTTTGCGCATATGAGTTTTGTAATCGCTCTAAAAATGGACTTTTACATGGTTATTTTCTAATATTTATTATTTATCAGGGTGATTTTTTTTTTTGTAAGGGAGTTTTTCAAAAAAAAAAAAAACTACAATTCTCTGATTAATTTCATTGTCTTCTTTTTCGTTTTTGACATTTTTTTGTTTTTGTCGTTTTAACCTTCTTTTCGTGAAGGCGAAGTACGATTTTTGGAGCGGCGATTACCAGCAAAAATTTTGCTCGCGAATGAGTGGTTAAATTTCATTTGGTTATGTTTGTTAGATGAATTTTTCACTGATTGAAATTGCAACATTTTTCCTTACTAACGTGCAAGGTTGAATGAAGTTTAACAATAAAAAAATTTTTTTTGTCGTCTGTAGATCGGTTATGCATTTTTTATGGTCTCAATCGTCTAGTTTTTGAAGTCGCAAGTGCTGCGTTTTAACAATCTTGCACCGATTTATCGTTGATTCTTCAAATTGATAGGTCATTGCAAAGTCTTGAATATTCATTCTTTAACGTCTTTAGTCATTTTTGTTTATCATTGGTCTTTAGACAAATATGGCTGACACTGACGCAATGTTTAAGCGGATCATGGACTCAGAAGGGGTATTTTACAAGTTGCAACAGCGGGGTGATCCTGATTTAACTGAGGAAGAGAAGAAGTCAGTTTCTATAAATTCTATTGTTTATTTTTTTTCTAAGTGAAAGAGAGTTTGTTAGAGTGAAGTAGAATTGCGCTTGTAACTTCTGCTTTTTTTTTTTTTGTTTGTTTGTTTTGAAGTATTTGAAGTCATTTAAGCTAATTAAAGCCGATTAGTAAAAAATAATGGGAATGCTGCTGTGGTTTTTTTCTACAGTGTATAGTTATTTCTAAATAATGTGCTTTTTTGGCTCTGAAAATGTTTATTTTGCATTACATATCGTGATTACTTTGTAATCAGCCCACATTTATACAGCGATATTACGTTTTACAGAATAATTCTTCGCGAGTTGTTTGAAAAAAAACCACGCATATTTATTAGCCGCTACTTCTCATACCTTTTACCAGAGGATTGCCATTTGTTCAGTGGTGAAGATTATGACATATCCTTTTATATTAAAAAAATTACCGAGAACCAAAATGGGACTGAAGATGTAGGCTATTCGCATTGGCTGCTTTTGCAGTTTTAAGCGTATTCCAAAAATTGTTTCTGGATTTGACTTTTTCGATGGGGCTAAGAATTTACTTTTTAAAGGTAAAAACAAAACGAAATGTTCGCTTTGCTGAGTTAGAACGTTTAAAGAAAGAAAGTGACTATTTCTCCTATGCAAAAATGCGTGAGCGTGAACCGCTTCTATTCGACAGAATGATTGGAAGGTTTCTTCCTGAAGAAGGTCTGTAGTCTTTTAAGGGTCCCAGTTTATTTTTTTTTTTTTGATTAATTTCTCGGTTTCCTGGGTTTGTAAGTATCCAGTGGAATACTTTTCAAAATTATTCAGTCTATTGAACCTTATTATCAACTGCTGGTAAACACAGGTAAAAGATGAATGAAATTTAGGCACGTGGAATAAGGACCCATTTAGATTTACTCAAAGATGCTGTTTGTCATTATGCCTCAATAGGCTCTTCTGTTTGCAGAGCAGTTTTTTCTGCGCCCAACTATTGAGAACGAGTCCTTATCGGGATTGCTTATGCAGTTTGAAGATTCACAAGTAGTATCTGATCGGCGCAAGATGCAGGTTGAGGAAGATGCATTTGGATTTCAGGTGGGTGGGCTGCTTGTTTAACTTTTTATTTTTTCCTGATTTTTTCTGGAGGTAATTAAAAAATTATTGTTCGATTCAGCTTATTTATATATTGTTAATGGAGAAGTGGTATAGTCCTGCAATGACCTTGATATAGACTGAAGCAAAGAAAAGCACAGTTTCGCATCGTTATTTTTCCCGGCGATTTTGTTGGTCGTAATTGAAACTTCTATTTATTTTCTGGATTAATTGATCTTACTTATTTTTAAAAAGTTCTAGTGTTTTAGGCGTAGCTATATTAAAAACATGAAAACAGTAGGACTCTTCAATAACAGGAATTCAGTTTATTTTTAGTATTTTCTGTATGTTGCTGGTCCTGTGCCGTAATTAAGTGACTTGAACGTACTTACTAATCTTTTTGAGTGTCTCTTACTTGAGGGTTTTGCTTGAAAATTAAAGGTTTTTTTGGTTGGTAATGCTTAATTTGAAATCGCATCGAGTATTTTGGAGAGATAACATGGCTAGTTTTGTTTTACAGTGGGTTAAGGTAAAGTTTTATCGGTGTGTTAGTTAATTCGTCGTTTATGGTGTGGAATACCATTTAAAATCGTTTCTTGGTCTTTAACTGCTGCTGCTGCTCGACAGGGGTAATTAGAAGGTACATCCAAAAGGAAGCTTCTACTGGTACAAGTTAAATTGACACGTATTAGCGTGCCTTTACAGTGTTTCACAATAATTTCAGAAAGATATTCTGCGTAGGCTCAAAGCTTTATTTCTCTACAAGTCTTGCTTTTACCAGCGTAGCTGGTATTATTGCCAAAATACAGCTGCGTTTTTGTTATATCGAATTACTATCTTATAGGAATAAAGTGGCAGTAGGAAGTTTTTAATCTAGTAAGTTTGTATTCTTGTGCTTGGGAATCTGCCTATTATTGGCTGCAAATGAATTTTCAATTCATTGCTGAGTGTTATGAAATTTTGACTTGCAAAAATTGTGTTTTTAGAGGAAGTTATGAAGGGTTTTGATAGGTTTTAGCCTTCTTTATACTGGTTTAATATAGTTATAGGCTCTGTAACGAGCTGGTGATAATTGTTTATGGTAACCTAAGTGAGATGAAATTTTACTTGATGTTTTTTTACAGTTCATTCACACAGGTGGGTTTTTTTTTTTTTTTTTTTTCGAGAAGACTTCTGTACGGGCTCTCATGGGAGAACTTTTGGGGTATTTTGAAAGATATGCGGCAACCGGTTGTTTGCGACTGAAAATGTTTTGCAGGAGAGCACAAGTTCTACACCTCTTAATGTAGATGACAGATTTTATTTTTTAAGGTTATAGCATAATTTGTATGCTGATAATGTTTTTTGTATTTTTGTTTTTAGATGTCTTCATCTTTGTTGCTCAGCCAATTTTTTCTCTTTTTCTGAATTTATGGTTTTAGTTTACAGCTCATTTTTGTGCAGCAAGATCACTTCTTCTAGACTTGTTATGCATATTATCTTTACTGCAGTTACAGACATTTATTTTGGAATTTCTTGCGTTACTGGTGTAGGACTGTAGCTTCATTTTAATTCTGCCAAAGTCAATTTCGATTTACTGTTTAAAAAACTGTTTTTTCAAAAATATGAGTTTTGCCAATAGATTTTTAATTAGTGTTGGTTAGTGTATGGAATTTTAGGTAGGACATAATATCGTTCCGAAACTTTTTTCAAGTTAGTCTCGATAATTTTTAGGTATACTCTAATCTTGAATTTAAGAGCCAGAATGGAGCGGATATCAGCCCTTCAACAGTGAAATTTGAAAAGATGGCATTACATGCAGAATGCAGGCAGTCTCCCGAGGATGAAGTTCAAGAAGAACTTGAGGGGGAAATTGGGTCGCTAAGTTTGAATTCCGAAACTTCAAGGACATGTCATGAAGAAATGATGGTCGATTCTGAAAATGAGTTGGATGAGGAGCAATTAAAGAGCGAGTTTATTGATTTTATGGAACAGAAGTTTTTAAGAGGTTGGATTTTAAATAACATCTTTACAGATTTGCGCTGCTTTTTTTTTTCTGCAAACACGAGGTCGAAATATGTCAGAAGCGTCTTTTTGGCAAATTCATGATCAAAATACTGACTCATTTCTTCTGGTTACATGTTTGCGTGGAACTGTTTTCTGCATGATTTACAGCGGAATATTTCTCAAGCTTATGGTTTCAAAAAAATTTCATTCCAAATTCATTTTAAGCTCTTGTTTAGTAATAAAAGGAGTTTATTCATAAAGGATTTCTTGCTCTCACTTATTGACCAGAGGGACGTAGCCATTCTAATGTTTTACAACTTCTTTGTAACATATAACGAAGCATTAGGAAGAAAGTGGTTTCCTGGGTAATCTCGAACACTGACAGTCGAAAAGGAGAAACATTCAGTTAATTGGCTTGCACAAAAATTTTGCTTCATGCGGAAATTGTCTTTATTATTTTTTATGCGTCGTGAAGATGAGACATCAGATGGTGGCCTAGCCTGTATTAAAGTTATAGTAAAGAAGTTACAAAAAATTCTAGAAGTTTTAAAACTGATTTGAGATAAAAATTTTTTTTAGATGAGCATTTTGGCTCATTTTAACATAAATTGCTTTACATCTCCTCTGCTAGAGCTGTCGACTACTAAATTCACGAAGATAATTTTTATGCCTAATACTTAAATGTCTTTGTTAAGTTTCTTGTTATTTATTTGCCACGATGCCTACTTCTATTTCATCTCTTCTTTGATATATATGGCTTCTTCCTAATTAGTGCGGTTTGAGCAGTGTTTGTGCAATTTTTAGAGCATTTTTTGCCCTAAGGTTGAATGGAATTGAGGGAAGTTATTAAAGTTAACATTGATTCAGAGTTCCGCAGTGAAGGTTTAATGTAAAATTTGCTCTTGGCAGTTTTTTAAAGTTTTTATTTGGTTATGCATATGGCGAGAACTACTTCAAAAATGAAGCTTGTTTTAGGTTTTTAATTAAACGACTCAGTTTTCCTGCTTATTTCTGTTTTGTTCAGTGTGCTTAGAAGTTTAATCTTTTCAACTTAAATGTAGTAATTTTTCTACGGCTTTTAGTTTTAATGTTTTTTAAGTTTTTTTTATTACTATTTTTGTGTTTTTGTATGGACGTTTCGGTGCCTCAGCTATGTTAAAATTTCAGAGCAAGATGTTGATTTCTTTGACTATGCAGCACTTTACAGTCAGAGGTTTCCCAAAGAATTTGACCGGATGCGGAATCAGGATCTTGAAGATGCATACTTTGCTGATGAATGAGTCTCAGAAATCTCATACAGTCTTGTGCATACCATTTTTCTCCCAAGTTTTCTAAATACTTATGCGTTGTAAAAAAATTTAACTAATTTCTTGTTTTTTTATTGGAGTTTTGAATTTTGGCTATTAATAGTAAATGCAGTCGTATTACGGTTTTGTATGAAAGTTATTTCAAGATCACTTGCCAGTGGTCTTACTTGATAATTCTCTCGTGCGGTATTAACTCATTATTGTAGTTCTTGGTTTAATTTGTTAGAACATTGTAAAGTCTCGTTTAGCCCTATCGCTTCTTAAATTTATGGCCAGTTTTCTTTTGTTCCTATGATTTCTTTTTTTTTTGTTTTTTGTTTTTTTTTTTTTTCTTTTTTT